AAGCCCCAGTAGATAGTTGTATGTCATAGCTGCACATCCTTCTAGTTGCTGTATGTGGGACTCGGCCTCAGGATGGACGGAGAAGTGGTGCCTCGATGCACGCCCGGGATCAGAACCCGGGCCTCCAGCATCGCAGCGCGCGCACTTAACCACCAAGCCACAGGGCCGGCCCAGGGGTGGGCATTTAATGACGCTTCCCATGGACAGCGCCAGGAAAATGGGTGGGACAAGGGGAGGGGACACTTGTGGGTTTGCTGCTTGTAGAAGTGACCTCCTCACCACCTTCCGTTCTCTGCCCTCTGCCAGCACCTCCTTTTCGGCCTCCAGCTGGTCTAGGATGGTCTTCTGCAGCAGGGGGGCATTTGCTCCTCTAACCACAGCCACCAGTTCTCCTCCCTAGAATACGGTACAAATGTACTGGTCAAACCACATGAAACCCTCTTCACAGATATTAATCTTTCAAGAGACAGCGAGAGTGTTCGAGAGCTTTGTTTAGGAGTGTGCCCAAGGTCAAGGTCCACCACCTCAGGCTCACAGCCTCCAGCCACTTCTCTACCTTCTGCCCCATGCCCTCCTGTCTAAACTTCCTTCAGGGCAATGGGAGTTAGTTAAGGGAGGAACAGCGCAGGCTAGCTTGTGAGGGACTAATTGTGGCCAATAAAGGGCTCATTCAGCAGACGTCTATTGAGCACTTCTTAGGCCAAGCACTGAGACAGAGGCAGAGAATATAAACACCAATCACAAAAAGACCTAATCGTGCCCTCAATGGATGGGGAGTGAGTGGGGAGAGAGGTGGTCATGTCAAGGAAACAATTAGAATAGAATAAGACCATTGTTTTAATAGGGATACTTGAATTGGGGCAAGAATCAACTCCATCTGGGGTGGTCAGGGAAGGCTTCAAGTGGAGGTGGTGTTCGTGTCCTGCTGACCTGAGTTTCCTGCTTTAACTTTCTCAACACATATCACTCATGGAAGTTCCCATGGTCCTCCTCCATTTCCATCCCGCCCCACAGTGAAGCCCCAAAGGATGAGGAGTGTGGTGGAGCCTGCTGGCTTGGCCCATGTTCCCACACAGCCGATTATGATGTATGCTTTAATCACTACGGGCTCAAGCAAGCAAACCACTGTGGTGATGATCCCATTTCTGCAACTGAGCTCCCCTGTCGGTTTGGCTGGGGGGGGGGCACATTCATCTCGGCTCCTTCCTACTTCTCCCTCCCTCCCCCACCACGTTTCATCATCTAACTTCAGTCTTCCTGCTAACAGCCAAAAGCTCACATAGTTTCACCGTAAGCTTCCAATTTATTATACTTGCAGTGCTGAGGGCAGGGGCCAGAAGGTTTCCAAACTAAACAACTCTGGCCTGGGTGGGTAGATCCTAGCTTCCCTGACTGTAGATGAGGGGGTTGGACCCAGTCAGGATTTGTATATCAATCAATTGCCTTCAGGGCCTGGCAGGTGATAAACCTAGGAAGCCAGGGATGAGATAATGGTCCCTCAGGGGCGTGCCCGTGGATGTCACACCCAAAGACATCCAAATTATCTTTTCAAAACGCTGGACCACTTGGCTTTCATCAATAGTCCCTCTCATTTCTGACTTTCTGTAAACATGTCTTCACATTTTATGAATAAGTAACTGTGAATGCAGAGCCTGTCTACCCCATAAAGGAGCATTCATGTTTGCTGGAAGTTCCCCTCTATGGGGCAGAGGATAGAAATCTTGAAACTCTGTGCTCTGAGAGTCCAGAGCACTCGTAAGCCAGAAGGAGCATTTGAGTGACTCCAGCCGGTCAGGA